AAAATTTCAAAAAATCACTTTTGCAGTGTGGGGACCCCATGGCGATTTTTTCCAAAATTTTCAAAAAAAAAAGTTTTTTTTGAAAATGTTCACAAACTGTTTCAGAAGATAGAACAATGTTAAAAAATGAGTATCGCACTCAAGCAAATCCTGAAAAACTAATTTTTAACCTCGAAAAATGCATGTTTTTGGCCAAAATTTAGTACTAAAAGCACTTTCAGAGGCCATATTTCGGCTCCTTTTGAGAACGGGGTAAAAAATTTTTGGATTCGGATTCAGCATGTTCGAAAGTACCTTTGTACAAATTTTGAGAAAATTCTCAACCGTTGTCTGAAAAACCTTCCCTTGTCAGAAGCCTTTACTTTGAATAGTTCAAACATCCAGGTTTTTGTATTTCAAAAAAAACGTATTCCCATGGATTTTCATGTTTTTCTTCATTCTTTTCTCAAAAAAAGTCTATGGAGATTTTCAGATTGCCATGGAAATTCCATGGAAATCTTCTTTTCCACTCGTGTTTTTATGTGGAAAAGGGACAAAATAAGCTCACAAAGTTTTTTTTTCGATTTCCCTATTTTATTTCAGCTTAAAAAATTGAAAATTCACAAATCAACATATCTAATCAATACGGGAAGCTAATTAACAAACAAATTAGCATAAGATTTACATAAATGACTATAACCCAATGTTATGGGGATGTGGAAAAAATAAATGTTCTGTTGTCCCTTTTTGGCTTTTCAGCTCACCTTAAGCTCAATTAAGCCTAATTATCTCGATTCCTGTAAGAGATATCAAAAAGTGGTCAACTATAAAAATGTAGATTATAAAATTTTACGTATTTTCTAAGTTTTCAAAATTAAGCTAGCTTCCATAGTTTTTGAGATATGTGCCTTTAAAAGCCCAACCATCGCCTTCGCGCGCAGTAAATTTAATAGTGTATATCTCGAAAACCAATAAAGCCATCAAACAGTAACCAACTGAAAAAATGTAGATTATGAAATTTTACACATTTAATTAATTTTAGAATTTAAGCTAGGTTTTATAGTTTTTGAGATATGCGCCTTTAAAGTTGGCGCCCCTCGCTTCTTCGAGAAGAATGACCCTACACCTCAAGCTTGAGCTCGCTCAATTATCTCAGCTTCTGTAAGAGGTATAGTGGCACCTACATAGAGTCTACTTTGAGCTCTTTCATCTCGATTCCTGTATGAGATAATAAAAAGCAATTAACTAACAAAATTTTTATCACATTATCATAAATATTTTATCAGTGAATCACTTTTTGATATCTTTTATAGGAAACGAGATAAATGAGCTCAAAGTTAAGCGCCGATAAGCGCTCTTTGAGTTACCGCTTCAAGGAACCGAGATAAACTGTTTCAAATCAATAAGTAAGTTTTTTTCAGAAAAATGCCGTCTTCATCTTCTCTCAACAAAAGGAAAATTCTATTCATTCTGTTTTCCTACTATCTGACTTTCCAAACATTCAGCTTCATTTTCACATCGGAACTCTGGATGGTCATAGTCTTCCATGCCTTGGCTTCCTTCCATTTTGCCCTAATGTCTTATATGGCTGGAAATACTCAAGCCACACTCTCCGTGTTTTATTTTACAGAGGTAAGCAAACCTAGGATTTCTGAAAACCCTAGAAATCCCGAAATTCCAGTTCACTCTCCTCTTCTCCTCTCTCATCTGGTCCGGATTTGTCCTTGGTCTCAGATTCTACGTAAAAAGTGCCGAAATCCAAAGATCTGATGAGTACTCGATCTATGCGAACTTCATCGGTATCTGATTCACATAATATCTGGAAAAAAATTTTTTAAAATATTCTTTTAAGGTATTCTAATCCATTTCATAATTTTCCATTGCTATCAATCGAGAGTTATGAAAATGGAACAAGAGGAAAATGGGAATCGTTTTGAGCCATTGGTCGTTTATGATGCCACTGCGACAGATGAAGAAGAATATTGAGGAAATTAAAAAAATTTTTTGTGAAAGTTTTTACAATACAAACTCTCCTTGTTGCTGCCTTTTATTTCGCGATTTCCAAGTTTTTTCGGTGATAATATGATAAGAATTTCTTCAGTTGACCATTATTCGGTATCTCTTACAGTAACCCAGATGAATTGGGTGAAAGTCTTACAACAATAGTACTTTTCAGTGGGTAATACCAGCTACTCGCAGATGGGTGTGGTATTGCTCATCTGACGTTATTTGAGAAGGGTACTGTAGATTGGGCCCGAAACGGACGGGACCAACTGAAATGGATAAAATAGAAAAAAAACTCAAGCTACAAAATTATTCTATTTAGAATACTGTAGCTTGTCTATGAGCAAAGTTAAAGTAGCTCCATCGGTATTTGGCTTACTGCAACTTTGCTCATAGACGAGATACAGTATTCCAAATAGGATTATTTCGTAGTCTTAAGTTTTTCTAACATACCTACTTTTGTTAGTCCAAAAATATGGAATCTGAAGAAAGTTATGGTAGGTTTCGTTTTTGGTCCGTCTCCGATTCTACCTTCACCAGCTCCGATTCCACATCCACCAGCTCAGATCCTTCGATTCGACCTCCATCAGCACCGATTCTACCCCCACCAGCTCCGAATCCACCTCTACCAGCTCCGATCCTCCGAATCCACCTCCACCAGCTTCGATTCTCCGGTTCCACCTCGACCAGCTCTGATTCCACCTTCACTAGCTCCGCTTCCACCTGCACCAGCTCCGGTTCCACCTCCACCAGCTCCGAATCCACCTCCACCAGCTCCGAATCCACATCCACCAGCTCCGAATCCACATCCACCAGCTCCGATTCCACCTACACCAGCTCCGATTCTCCGGTTCCACCAGCTCCGAATCCACATCCACCAGCTCCGATCCCACCTCCACCAGCCCCGATTTCACCTCTACTAGCTCTGATTCCACCTCCACCAGCTCCGAATCCACCTCCACCAGCTCGGATTTTACCTCGACCAGCTCCGATTCCACCTCCACCAGCTCCGATCCTCCGATCCCACCTCCACCAGCTCCGATTTCACCTCTACTAGCTCTGATTCCACCTCCACCAGCTCCGAATCCACCTCCACCAGCTCGGATTTTACATCGACCAGCTCCGATTCCACCTCCACCAGCTCCGATCCTCCGATCCCACCTCCACCAGCTCCGATTTCACCTCCACTAGCTCCGAATCCACCTCCACCAGCTCCGATCCTCCGAATCCACCTCCACCAGCTCCGATCCTCCGATTTCACCTCCATCAGCTCCGATCCTCCGATTTCACCTCCATCAGCTCCGATCCTCCGATTCCCCCTACACCAGCTTCGATTGCACCTCGACCGGCTCCGATTCCACCTCGACCAGCTCCAATCCTCCGGTTTCACCTCCACCAGCTACGATCCTCCGATTCCACCTCCACCAGCTACGATCCTCCGATTCCACCTCCACCAGTTCCGATCCTCCGACTCCACCTCCATCAGCTCCGATCCTCCGATTCCACGTACACCAGCTTCGATTGCACCACGACCAGCTCCGATTGCACCTTGATCAGCTCCGATTCCACCTTGACCAGCTCCAATCCTCCGGTCCCACCTCCACCAGCTCCGATCCTCTGATTCCACCTCCACCAGCTACGATCCTCCGATTCCACCTCCACCAGCTGCGATTGCACC